CCGCCACCCTCAAGCTCATTGATGGGTCTCCGCCGGCGGATCCCACTCTCTACAAGCAGGCCTTTGGCTCCCTTCAGTATATATTGTGCACCCGCCCTGACATCGCCTTTGCGGTGAACAAGCTTTCGCAGTTTATGCATGCGCCCACCTAGCTACACTGGCAACATGTCAACCGGCTTCTTCGTTATCTCCGTGGTACATCTTCTCTTGGCCTTCGTCTCAGTCCTATTGATACACCCACTCTTCTCGCCTTCGCCAATTCTGATTGGGCGGGCGATCCTGATGATCGCACATCCACTATGGGCTACCTCATCTACTATGGTGGCAATCTTATCTCCTGGAAGTCTAAGAAACAACGCTCAGTGGCACGTTCCAGTACGGAGGCTGAATATCGCGCGCTCGCTCATGCCACGTCCGAGCTTTTATGGATCCAAAATCTACTTCGGGAGCTTCATCATCCAGTTCCCTATCCTCCGGTTCTCTACTGCGACAACCTCGGCGCTGTCAATTTCTCCGCCAACCCCATTCATCACTCGAGGATGAAGCATTTAGCACTCGATTATCTCTTCGTTCGGGAGCTTGTCCACTCCTCAGCCCTTCATGTCCGCCATATTCCCACAGCACACCAGCTAGCGGACTTGTTAACAAAGCCGCTCCCCATCACACGCTACCAGCTTCTTCGTTCCAAGATTGGCGTCGTACCCTCCTCCATCTTGTGGGGGCGTGATAAGGATAATTCTTAATTACTTTGTAATTATATTAAGTCATGTACTTAGTGGTTAGTTAGCTCCCTCTTTGTAGCTACGTGGGATGGCTTTCAGTTGTAAACATTATATAAAACACTACTCCGATATCTAATAGAGATCACAATATTCCAGCAATCACAGTATGTATGGTATGAAATTTTGTTTTGCTCTAAATACATTGAAAATGAATATCATTTTGTAGATCATAACGAACATATTCCTTCTGTGTAAATTTTTTTGAAACCAAATTAAAACGTAGAAGATAAAACCGACTAAAAAATAGAAAAAATTAAGAAACTATTAATTTCTCATTACTTAAATCTAACCCACTTAAAATTATGCATCCAAATATAATTATGCAAGACTATACGAACAAGGACTTGGCCTAATGATAATACCACTAGCCTAGAACCTTGAAGTCCCAGATTTGAATTCATTAAGTAATACATTAATTACAAAAATAAAACCTATACCACCCTTGTAAAAAAAATAATTATGCAAGACTATGTATCCTATGATGAACCATTAGCAACTTAGCTTAGCATCCTATCAGGTTGGAAGGTACGCATTTCATTCGCTTCCATTCCAATCCTTTCGGTTTCGTACTCTCTCCACTTGACTAGTTACGTAACGTTCATTGTCTACATGGGCGGCAGTGTCGCTGTCGGTTGATCACATTTTTCAAACTCAACAATTAATCATTTTCGCTTTCTCGCTTATTCATTACCTGCCCAAAAAAATGTCCAATATCATCAACCAAACCCAAAAGCACGAACTGAAAGCCCAGTAGTTGGTACTAGGTGTTTGTTATATGAACCCAAACCCGCTAAATAGGGAACCAAATCCAGACTAGTGCTGCGAAACTGGCTCAAGACTGAAACTGGCTCAAGACTTAGCTTACATGGGCTTCGATGACGAGTCAAAATTAATGCCTATCCATTCCCATTTCTGTTTTCTCTTTCCATTCCAAAATTTTGGGTGCAACTTTTTTTTTTCATAGGTATAACCAAAGGAGAAAATAATATAGATACGCATATTATACAAAATTTGCATGTTAGATCACAAAATTGCAAGAAAAAAAAAGTTGGTTGACAAGTGGCAAATCCAACGATACAATAGTTTGTTTTGTCAAGATAAATGATGGCAAACAGGTGGGGCAGGGCGGATATATCAATACTCATTCTTGTCACATATCAAGCGCAGGTTAGGGAGGGTAATAATTGCGCCAATATGGGTCAGGACGGGTCGACCCACTCTTACATGTAATTTTACTTTTTTGTTTTTTATGATAAAACAAAGGAAAAACACTTTACGAATGAAAAAATAGTGATAATAGAATGTGTAATTGAGTCTAACCAGTTGAAAGATCAAGTCTAACTAGTTGAAGAAAAGTCAAAATATGATAAATATGAATATATATTGTAAGAAATTGAGATAGAATGGATATTGAAAAGTCAAAACTTGGAGCTGCAACTGATGAAAACAATACAATTTTAAGATCAAATAGACTCCATGGATATGATAGATTCATTTTTGTCTCCGCCATCAAATTAGCTAATTCATCAGTTCATTTCTTTTTTTTTATATGAATACATCAGTTCATTTCAGTTGACAAAATAACTCATCATTTTTAACACAATGACAATAATTCTCAAAATCTTGTAGAAGAAAAGAATCAGAAAGATGACCAAACTATTCAGGATAAAATCTTGTGTTAGAATACGGTTGGGATGAGGGATAGTTTACGGATTTAATTTTAAGCTTTGAAAAAATTGGGGATAGGGGCTACATGTTTACAGATACGTTTATGACAAATTACAACAACAAATGAAATTTAGTCAAATAGAAAAGATATTTGCTAATAACTACCGTGTTATAGCTTCGAATCACGTATACTATCATTGTTTTCTTTTTCACATACTCAAACTATCAATGGGGATTTATTAAATTTTCTCCCAAACTTTAATTTTACCTCAGCTTGAACTCGGCTCGTTTAATAACGAGCCGAGTTGAGTTCAAGCTAGTTTTCTTACTAAAATCTTGACACATATTTTATATATTCATTTTGTATGTCATGTATGATAAATGTGATTAATGTCCAGATGAAAAAAAATAATAGTTTAGTGTTCAATATTAACTAAGTGCAAAGGTTTGTTGAGCTCTCTTATCCGGTCTTTATCGTGGCGTACATCCAAGCTTTGTGGAGTACTTGGTCAAGTGGCGCAACCTTCCGGAGAGTGAAGCAACTTGGGAGAAAGAGCTCACGCTTTGGAAGAACAATGACTTGATCGAGGTATTCCATCAAGAGGACGCGACGAGGGCGTCGCGAGCATAGGTGGGGGAGGATGTCACATGTGGCAGATGACATGGCGCCAACAAGGTGACAACATGGCGGCTGCACATGTGGCATGCATGGAAGACTAGTAGCATAGAGATGCTCCTAGGATTCTCCACCTTAATGTAGAGCTTAATGGTGCACTTATGAGTCACATAATGGGTGACATTTATAGAGTGCATAATGGGGGGACTTAATGGGTGTATTGATGTAGAGGGACATTGTGAGGGGCATTGATGCCTTGTATGAGGAGAGGCTTATATAAGGAGCCATCTCCATCACTTGTAACTCATTCTATCATTTTTGAGAGTAATACACACTAGAGAGTTCTCCCAATCCTTTGTCTTTGCTTCCTTGTTCTTTGCTTGCTTGTGAGTTTGAGAGAAGGCTGCTTAGAGCTCTAACGAAATTGAGAGCTAGGGCCGCACGATCGAGAGTAAGGTCGTGACACCCTCCCCTCGCTCATGCAGAAGGTTGAGATGGTGAAGGTCTTCTCTCTCTCACTCACAGAAAGATGAGATGTTGTTGGTGCATTATAGAATCTTAGATTTGGGTATTTATTGTTTTGGTACATGTTCATTATTTTGTTTTATGAAATGATATAGTTTTGTAGTAGTGGTATGGTTGATTTTGGTATTGGTTTGACTCTTGTAATGGTATATATTGTTTATATTGGTAGTTTTAGTGTAATGATATTGTTTTTCCTAATGGTATTGATTTATTTCCGCAATGGTATTAGTGTTTTTCAAAGTGGTAGTGGTTGTCTAATGGTTTGGTATTGATTACCATGTAATGGTATTAATTTGCATGTATTGGTATTGATTAAATCTGCAATTATATTGGTGTTTTGTGAAATGGTAGTGTTTTCATTTCTCGAATGGTATTGGTGTTTTGTGCAATGGTAGTGTTTTACGAAGTGGTAGTGGTTGTCTAATGGATTGTTATTGATTTCTTGTTTTTTGTTATAATGGTATTGGTGTTTTTCGAAGTGGTAGTGATTGTCCAATGGATTGATAGTGATTTCTTGTTTTTTTTTTCATAAAGATTGAGAAAAATAAGGAAAGTAGATATGGCTGGAGATTACGGAAGTGAGAGAAAAGGGAAGAATTGTAATTAATAGATTTTTGTAACTGCCTTGAATGTAATTTATTAAAAAAAATTAATTAATACAATTTATTTTTCCATACTCAATTTATCCTTAATAATCATGATGATTATAGTAATCATCGTAACTCATCCCTCAAGTAACGGTGACTTGCAAGTAACCGTAACAAAGTCCTAACTTTTATAGAGTTGGCACTCTAACTACTCTTGTTGCGTCATTGGCCCACTACTAACAGGCTTATCGATGGGCCTGAATTACTGGTCGGTGGAGTTTTGTTTCAGCCGGCTTTTGTATTGATAGGACCCATAAAGCATTTGCCGCCATTCGTGTCGGGCTCGGACCAAAGTTCTAGTCCCGATTAAAGAGAGGAGAGGCGAGAAACCGAATAAACGAGAAAATCAGCCCTAAAATCGAGAGAGTTGTAGCAGGCTATACGGTGCAGTCCGGTTAAATTGATTTAAATTGATTTGGTCCTAGTTCGGTCTTTTCGAAAATATAAGGACCAAAAATTGGATTGGATTCAGTCCGGTCTTGATCTGGTCAAGTCCCAATTCGGTCTTGATTTTATATTGAGCTTGTGGAGATTTGAGTGGCATAAGGCCTGAAAGTGTGAGGAGTTTGTTAAGTTTTGTACTAAGTGCAAAGGTTTGTTGAGCTCTCTTATCCGGTTTTTATCTAGTTTTCGATACGGTCCCGAACGATTTTTTTACCTCAAATTTAAACCAAAAAATTGAATTGGATTGTTTACTATCCGGTCCCGATCCGAGTTGTACGGTCCAGTTTCAGGTAAAATAAAAAAACCTGGACCCCCGCCCTAAGTTGGAGTGTGGAAGAACGAACAGCTGCTTCCTTCAGTCATAGAATTTGCGAAATTTCGCTGCAGAGAGAAGAATTTGCAGAAATGGAGGCCGGAGACGAAGGAGTCGAGCGAGTCGTCGACTCTAAGGACATGCAGCAACAGAGCAAGGCATTCGACAAGCTCACCGACCGAGTCGAGGATCGCCAGCTCGATTCCACCCGCGTTCAAGAGGTTTTTTCCCCTTACGCTCTCTCTCTCCCTGTCGCTTTCCAGTTTCCTCCATGATTTTCACTCAGATTCTAACTGTTTCTCGCTTTCCGCCGCTCTGTGTGCAATTAGGCTATGGCGTCAATAGCTGCATCTTCCGAAGCAGATTGGAACGCTATGAGATTGAGGTAACGCCAATTAGTCTACAATATCTCCAGTATCTTCGTTCTTTCGCTGTGTGTTACCGACTATGTTGATAGTATTGCCTCCATTTTTCCGCTGGGATTTAGGATAGTTGAACTATGCGGGAGTTTCCATGGCGGAATGCGGTAGTAGGTTTCTGTATAACTGATTTTCAAAGTTGTTGAGCTGCGAGCTTTTGCTCTTCGGAGTGGAGTTGCTAGGTTGGTTGCTTGCCATTTGCTATAATCCAAAGCGTATCGCGATCAGGACCCCATATCTTTGGGGAGAATGGTTTACTATATTATGACTGTTAATCTCTTGAACTTCTTACTGTTAATGGCAAGCACTTCTGCTACCGATGTGGCCTCGCAGTGTCTTAGAAGCTCGATGATTGTCAGAATGTAGTTCACCGTCCTATGATCAAACCACATTTTAGCGCAAGCTTAAGTCTATACGCATTTTGGCACTCTGTGACGACTGTTGAAATTTGAACTAAACCGGTAGCTTGTTTCCTTTTCCCCCCTAACTGAGCAGGGAGAAAGAACTAGCTGCAGTCAAGATCAATCCAGCAGATGTCGACATAATTGCGAGTGAATTGGAGGTCATATTTTCTGGGTCAATTGCTCCGTTGTTTTTCATTCTCACATGGTGATGAAACCATTAGCCCCAATCCGAATTTATGCATCTAGAGATTCCTGATCTTTGTTGCCATTGTTTCAATGCTGAACAGCTGGACAAGAAGGTGGCAGAGAGGACGTTGCGGGAGCACAAAGGCGATGCAGTCGCTGCTATTCAATGCCTTATACACCAGATAACTATCGGGATCAACTAGAAAGTTGGAACTGAAATTGCTTCAATCTCCATGTAGCGCAATGAATTCGTTATGGACTGTGAAAGTAGATGGAAGGGCTTTCTGCTTCTTCTTGACCACGCTACTTCTGGAGGATTCATTCGCATACTTGAGTGATGGTAGCCTGTGTTCTTGTATCTAGTTTTGAGGCTCTTACGTTCAAATTGGTTTTCGTAGTAACTTCCGAGATGGAGTTCTTGCATGATAGGTTGATCGATTGTTGGAATCTAACCTTAATTCTTACAAGTTAGTATTCGGTGATTATTCGCCAACTGGTATTGTACTCCTGGGTCGCACCAGTCAAACCACTATCCTTGAGAGTTGGTAATGATGTCACGACGCCATTGATAACCAGCATGCAATGAAACAGGCATATATGCAGAGACGGCCACTAGAAACTTATTTTGTTTCCTTTTGACGTTTTACCTTCCGAGTTCTGAATCTGCACAATGGAAATAATGTCAGTGGTCTTACATAAACATCGGTTGCATGAGACCACCATTCCCTTCTTCTTTTCCATCTGAAAAACATATACAAAACACAAACCAGCTCAAACCGCCATCAGAAAGTGCAAAACTCTCCCTCCCTCGTATTCTCACATGGCTGCCATCAACTTGCTCCATCCTTCTGCTTTTCTGCCCTGCTCTCGACCGTCAGCCGCAGCAACACTAACCTCTTGTTTGTTCTGTTGCTGCGTGGCACTACAAACCCACATGATCCCCAGCAATCAGATCAGGTGTGGATCCATCTTCGGAGGCTACGATATCACAGAGAAAAGTTCTGCGACTTGGATAGGGGTTTCGTTCGGCTGCTCTGCATGGGATTTGCTAGCTTTCCTTGTGGGAGGTGAGGGCGATGTGCTCGCCAGAAGCGACTGCAGTAGAACGGGCAGCCTGGAGCTGAAGGGTATACTGTTTCTGAATGTCCCTCAGCTTTTTCAGTAGTTCTTGGAACGTCGGGCGGCTGGCTGGGTCACTGCAGTTTACAAAGCAAAAATAACATATTCTAACGGCTTAGCCGATCCCATGATTACAGGAGCGGAGAACTGGGGTTTGATCAAACTGATGGTTCCTTGATTTATTATACGGTCCGACTCTAGACCGAACCTGATGCCCACCCTACCACTCAGGACGTTTACCTTCCATTGTTACTAACATAGTAAATCCCCTCACCAAAGGATTGATTTCACAAGGTACTTCTTTATTACTTAATAAATCAAACGCACGAGATCAACTTCGATCTCAAAAAGATTTTGGGAAATGAAAAACAATCTCTTGTTTTGGTGCAGAAAGGAAAGAACGATTCAAGATGGGAAATAATGAAGTACCTGAGCCAGCAGCTCTCCATTATAGAGGCCCAACGAGGATCGACGTGTTTTGGTATTTCTAGCCTTTGGCTCATGAATCCCACAGCACCAATTATCTGAAATTAATACTAAATAAATATCATGATGTTGTTCACGTATGCCATGCCGAATCTTTTGACATACTGCTGAACAGGGAAAACTATGCTTTAGTATAGAGCACCTGCGTTGAGTTGAGATTATCCCAAGGAATCTTCTCCGTCGCAAGTTCCCACAGTATTACTCCGAAGCTGTAGGTGTCAGACCTACAGGAGAAGAGGCATTGAAGAAAGTACTAAGCAGCATGAAGTGTTTGAAGCTTCCGAACTATGCCCGTTCATAGAGGAAATGTACGGCGAAGTAACAGGAGGAGGACGACTTACTTCTCGTCGGAACGTTCATTGCGGAGAACTTCTGGGGCCATCCATTGAGGCTACACACATGCAAGTAGGAAAAACAGCAAATAAACGGACTTGTTTGAACAATTTCATAAGAACTCAATAAAATGAAATTATAATTCTACTTACTCCTCAATTCCGAATTCGAAATCTAACATCTGGAACAACTCCTTACCGTGCCCTTTCCGGACTTGGTTGCCAAAAATGTTCCATGCTTTAAACGCGACAACCCGAAATCACCAACCTGGTAAGATAATCACAAAATTGGGTTTTCAGCTTCTGAGGGGTAAAGATGGCCAAAACTAGATTGGTGACAAGGAGACTTTACCTTCACCGTCCAATTTCTATCAACCAGAAGATTAGAAGACTTCAAGTCACGATGAACTATAGGAGGGTCGAAATGATGAAGATAGTTCATACCCCGTGCCTGTTTCAACAGATGATACACACAGTAAGTTGTCCAACACTTCATCTACAGATTCACTAAGAAAGATCAGCCAATGCTTCTCAAACGAACCACTCAGAACTCTGAAGTGGATTCACTACTTACAATATCCAATGCCATGTGCACTTTCCGTCTCCACTCTAGTTTTGTTGCATTCCGTTGGAGTAACTGGAACAAACTTCCTCTGCATAACAGGCAAACATGAAGAGAGTGTGTCGGTCTAATTGATTTAGCATTCAAGAAAGAAAGGTATAGCTGGCAACTTGAGACGGGTAGATTTTAGGGATGTACCGGGGTAGAAACTCTGTAACAATACAAAGATGTTGAGGTGAGGTCACAGCACCCATAAAGAGCAGGACATTTGGATGGCGAAGTCTTTTCATAAGGGATACCTTCAACAACAGACAATAATTTACAGGAGGTTCAAACCAAAAAGGAAAAATACTGTTTTCACTAGGACATTCCAATTGTTGTAAAAAAGCACACCTCTTGTCTAAATGAAAGTATCACATTCTCAGAATACTCTTGCTTGGCAAATACCTTGACCGCAACATCCTGGAAACGAAAGACCACCAAACCAATGGTAATATATTTAGTGCTTCTGGTTTGATAAAGAAATTCGCTAACCCATTATGGTGCATTTCCTTCAGTTTCGTCCAAGCACTACAGCACATTTTTCATATGCATGCGTAGAGAATTCGATGCAATGTTGAGTATGAACAATGTGGGTCTAAATTGGCAACAAGGAGATCATATTCCTCGCAGTTATGTCGAACTCGAGGATGCTAGTTATTTGTTTATATCAAATTCATATTCAGCTGTCAAATCTAACATAAGCATACATGGAATAAGAATGATAGAAAGGAAGATGCGGAGAAGAACATACTGATGCACACCACAGGGCATGACATACAGTCCCACAAGACCCTGCATCAACATAAAAATGAGTAATGGCAGGGTTAACATGAGCCACAGAAGGAAAGCGTTCACTAAATCAACAATAGAGCAAGTGTATCTACAAAGATGAGAACCTTGTCCGATTTGTTCTCCAATAGTCAAGTCTTCCCACAATATGTCATAATGCAAGCTATCAGTTTCCACATCTAACCTATTCTTTTCAGTACTGCTGCTCGTGCTACCACAACTGCTACCACTGCTCGTGCTGTTAACATTTGCAGAAGATGTCCACGACCCACAAGAGGGATAACTCATTTCACCCTCTTGATCATTCTGCAATCAAGGCCAAATGAATTTGCTAGCTCTTTCCTCGGAAACTTCCCTCTCGTTCCCTTTCCATGGCCATGACAACCCCTTTTTACCCATCCACGCTTCTGCTTTCGAAGTGATGATCTTGCGGATTGCCGGCTTCCCTTCCCTTTCATCGCCAGGAGGCGAGACAACGAAAGGAGATGGAAGAAAATCTTCCCTCCTAGGCGTGCTAGCATCGGCGGTGTTTGCATCAGAATGATGACTATTTCCACTACCACCTTGGCGATCATCATCGAGGTTGTTGCTCTCTCCAGTTCGAATCTTAGACTTCACCTTGTTGCTCACTTTGGTTGCCAAGTTAGATATCTTTGATTTGAGTGCTTCTTGCAGAGGCAGTGAGGGATCGAGACCAAGCTTAGCAGTGACACTGCTGCAGGCTCTATCGCCACCAATGTTGGAGGAACTCGAACCGGCTTCTGTATCAACGGGACTAGAGAAACCAATCCGCACATCGTGAAATGGCCTTGCATCTGTAGAGACGCATAAAAGCCCACTCAAAGCACCGTTGTCATCGTACAAAAATGTATTTGTCGCCACAACTGTAATCATACCGCCGATCTTGGTCTTCACTGGGAACTGTCCTGCCCAGTTCTCGCCCTGGAGTTGGCGATTAACAATATCTTGCGCGATCGTTGTATCCCTGGGATCTACAAGCAGCTCAATGAGGTTTCGACCAAGAGCCTCCGCGGCAGAATAACCATACAAGTTTTCAGCACCTCGATTCCTGCAGCAAAATTTCGATGAGTGAACCACCACCACCCTTAATAAGCGATGAACAAGGACGAAAACGGAACTAGAAAGGATACAGAATCTGAAAGTTCCGAGAAACGATTGAATATGAACGGAGTGGACATAATCAGTTTACCAGTAGATAAGATTGCCGGAGAGATCAAAGACATGAACTGCCTGCCCCATAGACTGCAAGATGTTCAAGTACTGCTCATTGCTAATCTTAACAGCAGACGGACCTGCACTCCTTCCGCCGCCACCACCACGATTACTGGAACCGCTGTTCGTACGGCGAGCATCTCGTCGTAAAGGAGAAGAATGCCTAACCGGCGGCGGAGAGGTCTTCTTCTCCATGTCGGGATCAGTCTTGAAGCTCCGTTCAGTCCTTTGACGACGCTGAGGCGAGATGGACCGAGAGCAAGGAGGAGGATGGTGATAATGGTGGTCGTGGTGGTGCTGTTCACCAGATTTCCGATCGGAGGAGAGCTTAGAAAGCCTCATCATCTCTTTATGAAGCTCAGCTTGTCCGGCCTCCAGTTTCTGTATCTTACGGAGTAGTTCTTCCGCCAGAGGCCTGGGTTTATCCATGAAGGGAAGAAAAGGAGAACGAAGCAGAGATCGTCGAACAGCTATGCGCTGAGCCGCGGTGTTGTTGGAAAAATGGCGGATTGGCTGTTTGTTCGGGAACACAGGAAGGATTGGGAATGAGAAGAAGCTATGGCAGAGAAACGGAAAAGGAGACAATTAAAAAGATATATATATATAATTCCTTACTTTCTTCCTCCTTTTTTATATCTTTCGAACGAATTCCTAACGTGGATGATACAATGAACTAATAAATTATGGATCTCACACGAATGAATGGATCCCCAAAACCTACAACTGCAGCTAACGCTCTCTCTCTCTCTCTCTCTTCCTTGCTTTTAAATATTGGCGCGACTGAGGAGACATATAAACAAAACAAAAAAACGCGCGCAGAAATGACTCCAATTCAGCCAGCTCATCTAGAAAAAGCTAATTAAAAAGAAAACCTTACCCTCAAATCTGTTCACAGCTGCTGCCCTAAGAAAAAACCACCCTCCTGCATTCTGCCCCCGTCAGCAACATTGACTGTGTTGATTGTTCTGTCACTACGTTACGTGGCTCTACATCAGGAGTATGGGGGTGAGGGTGGATCTTTCCTTCTTAAAGATGACGCCGAAAAAGGCGTCATCAGGAAGTTGGCTTGTAGTGGCTAGCTTTCCTTGTTGGAGGATGGTGGTGTGATGCTCTCCAGCTGCTGCGGAGCTGAATGGTGTACTGTCTCTGGAATGCTCTCAGCTTTTCCAGGAGTTCTTGGAAAGTGGGGCGCCTGGCTGGGTCACTGCACTCAGTGTACCAAAACACATTAGCAAAGTTCCATAAGTAATGAAAGTATGATTGTGACGCTGGAGTATTTCACGCACACACACAAAATAAATATCTAGGTTCTAGCTAGCATCAGCAATGGTGACATTCAATGGACGAAAACTCTGGGAAGGAAAGAATGATTGTGACGGAAAATGGCGAATTGACTGAGCCAGCAGCTCTCGATTATCCTGTGCCTGAAGCATTTGCCTGAGCCAGCAGCTCTCGACTATCTAGACTTCTAATCACGATGGACAATAGGAGGGTTGAAATGATGAAGATAGTTCATACCGTGTGCCTGTTGCAACAGATGATACCACAGTAGATCGTCAAATGCTTCATCTACCGATTGACTAAGAAAGATCAGACAATGCTTCTCGTCAGTGGAAGGAACGAATAAACCAAGCAGAACTTTGAGGATCCACTACTTACAATATCCAATGCCATGTTCACTCTCCATCTCCACTCTAGTTTTGTTGTGTTTCGTTGGAGTAACTGAAACAAACTTCCCCTGCATAACAGGCAAACATGAGAAGAGTGTCTTGGTCTAATAGATTTTGCATTCAAAGAAAGGTAGAGCTGGCAACTTAGGACGATAAGCTTTTAGGGAAGGTAAGTACCCGAGTAGGAACTCTGTAATGATACAGAAACGCTGAGGTGAGGACATGGCACCCATAAAGAGCATAACATTTGGATGGCGAAGTCTTTTCGTAAGGGATACCTTCAGCCACATAGAATGGTTTACAAGAGGCTCAATCAAAAGGAAAAGATAGTTTTACCACAACATTTGAACTATAGATGACAGTACATAACATAAAGCAATAAGAATCACACCTCTTGTCCAAATGAAAGAAACACACTGTCAGAATACTCTTGCTTGGAGAATACCTTGACGGCAAAATCCTGAAAACGAAAAAGGGTGCCATCTTTCAAGTTTCAACCATCTAAAGAGTTCATCATATATTCTAGTGTTCCTGAAAAAATGGTTTGATAAAGAAACTAGCTACCACACTATAGTGCGCTTCAGTTTCGTGCAAGTACCACAGCACATTTATCATATGAACAATGCCTGTCTAAATTGGCAACAGCATGGAAAGTTCATGTTCGATACATTTATGTCAAAGTTCAAACTTGAGGATCGTAGTAACTACCTCAGCAAGAGCTGATATTCAGCTATCAACACTTGATGCACAGTTTTACCACCATTACAAAGAATTATGATAAAAAGAGGGAGGAGGAGAAGAACATACTGATCCATACCACAGGGCATGATATACAGTCCCACAAGACCCTGCATAAACATTTTGAAAGAGTAATAGCAGGGTTAACATGAGCCATTGAAAGAAAGAAATCAATAAATCCACGGTAGGGCAAGTGTTGTATACAACGTTGACAACCTTGTCCGATTCATTCTCCAATTGTCAAGTCTTCCCACAATATCTCATAATCCAAGCTATCGGGTTCCACATATATCATATTCACAGTACTGCTGCTCGTGCGGATAACGTTACAGATAATGAACACGGCCCATTACAGGGATGATTCAATTCACCCTCTTAATCATTCCGCACGCAACCAAGGCCAATTGAACTTCTTAGTTCTGCTTTCGAAGTGATGATCTTGTGGATGTGGCAGGTTTCCCTTCATTCTCATCGCCAGAAGGCGAGACAACAAAAGGAGAGATGGATGAAAAATCTCCCCTCAGTGAGCGTGCCATTGGCGTACTAGCACTGAGGGATCATCCCTACGTTCTGCTGCTACATCCGCAAAACCATGATCAGAATGAACATCTCCACTACCATGCTGTATTGGCTATTAGGGATGGAATACTGCTTTCGATGGAAGAGCAGGTGCTTTATTTCCCTTATCAGGGAAACTGATTATACGTTGATACACGAGTTGGACAACATTCAACTCTAAAGAAAGCAACTGGTTCGAAAGCTGGGGCTATCTCCGCTATTGGTACTCATAGAGAACTGTCCTGACCAGCTCTCACCCTGAACAATATTTTGCGCGATCGTTGTAACACTGGGGTCTACAATCAGCTCAAGGAGGTTCCGACCAAGAGCCTCCGCCGTAGAATAACCATACAAGTTTTCAGCACCTCGATTCCTGCAGCAAAATTTTGATGAGAGTGAACCACCGCCACCCTGAATAAGCGAATGGCCATGGACGAGACTAGAAACGAGACGGAAACTAAAATTCCGGCGAAGACGGATACGATTAAACATGAATGGAGAGGACGGAATCAGGATACCAGTAGATTAAGACTGCCGGAGAGGTCAAAAATATGAACCGACTGTCCCATAGACTGCTAGATGTTCAAGTACTGCTTATCGGTAAACTTAGCAGCAGACGGACCGGCACTCCTTCCTCCGCCGTCATTCCTGGAACCGCTGCTTGGACGGCCATAATCTCACTGCAAGGGAGACGATCGAAGCTCCGTACAGTCCCTTGACGACTAGGAAGGGGTTAAATGCACCGTTTGCCACTCAACTAGAGTGGATGTTGCACATCTCTACAATTTGAACCCGCACGAGTGTGGGACGGGGCATGGATATCTATTGTCGATCCGCCATGTTTCATTCTGTCCCTGTCTGTTCTTAACTCATTTTATCTCAATTTTTTATAGGATTAAATGTCACATTTGGTCATTGGAATTACCAAAACGTGTTATATTTACTTACTAAAAAAATTAATATCAATTTTGGTCACTCAAATTACTAAAACAGGTCATATTTAGTCACTCTCCTGTTAGCCTCCATCCAACTCTGGTCACTCGGATTACTATTTTTTATGAATGTCACTTGAATTACTGAAACATGTCACATTTAGTCACTCTCCCGTTAGTTTCCGTCCAACTCCATATTTTGACTTTTCTTCAACTAGTTAGATTCGATCTTTCAACTAGTTAGACTTAATTACCCGTTCTATTGTCACTATTTTTCATTCACAAAGTGTTTTCCCCTTCATTTTATCGTAAGAAGTAAATTTTGCGTTTATTTTTTGCACATAACATGTAAAAGTGGGTTAACCCGCCCCGCCCCGTAACTACGCGAGTATTACCCATCCCGACCTGCAGTAGCGTGGGGCGGGACATGGGTAGTGAAGTACCCGCTCCGCCCTGTCCCATTGCCATCACTAATTGCACACGTACCATTTAACCTATTTTTATTGCAAGCAAACCTATAAGTCAAATTTTGGTTGAAACTAAATCATATAAATCAATCTTGATTGCACTATCACAATTTCCATTCATAGACTTAATAGTCAGTATCATACTCAAAATTTTGTGCTACCATTTCGGAGAAAATAAAACATATAGAATCATTTTGTATAAGTGTCAAACTTATCCGACCACTTTCTCATAATTATCACTTTTTCGATCTCTGCTCTTCTATTTCTCCATCACCTTTACAATCTATGACCTCTTCCTTCTACATCCCATTTCTTTCCATTCAACTCTTCGCTCCAAACCACCATGATTTGTTGTTCTTAAATATCTCTTTGGGCTCTTTTAGAAGTTGCGTATGTTAAATCGTTGTATTGCTATGAATCATTATTATACAAATGCATGCATTGACAAAATAGATGCATTTTGACATTACGGGGTCTTTTGCTTCGTGGATTTGAATGATGGATTTTGTACCCAAATTAGTTTTTATCATTGATTTAAGGAAAATTCATCGTTTGCTTGCATTTTAGTGAACAAATCCGTGGGGCCCACGGATTTTAAGGCTCCAAATCCATAGACCCCATAGACTTGTAAATCCCACATATCGATGTGGGATTTGTAACATGTCATAAATCCATGATGAGATTTTACTCATATACCCTTATGAACTTTTAAAATTTCAAGGTTGCCCTTAAATTTACTTATTGTATACTATAAATAATTAATTAATTAACAACAAAGAAATAATATAAATATTCAACTAATGTGCGAACATGAGTTAGATTTTTACCATTTCTTGTGTTCTAGTTTCCTTTGACATTTTCATAGAACGTGTAATTCTTTGTTCCTCGGCTCTAATATATGTTGCTATATGTTACATTTGAAAAGGAGGACAAAGAACTAATAATCGATATATGTTACGTTCAAAGTTAAACGAAATTTTCCCGTTTGTTATTATTGTCCTCAGGGCAACATTATGCTTATTAGTACGTATTTTCCTTGTTTCGTGTACATATCATAAACATAA